GTCACCCCGCGAACCTCACGGCCCTCTGTGAAACTGACTAACAGGATCATCCAGAGTAGAAGTCAGAGGCTGAAGAGGGACAGTGACTACCCAGGGCCCCACAGGACGGGCCAGCTCCTCCCCCGCAGCTGGAAACCTTGCCCCAGCTGCCTTCACGCCTCAGCTCAGCACCTCCACTGGCCAGGCCTTGATGTGTGGACTGTGTGTCCAGAAGGCAGCCAGAGCCAGAGTCACTCTGCTGCCCCATGACATGATTGGTTCTGGGGTCAGATCATGATGGATCCAGGATCCGTGTGTGAGCCACCAGATCCTGCACATAAGTTATCTGGGGTGGGTGTCGTCATTCACTGGGGCAGTGCGTAAGGCCCTGTGACTGACTGAGTGGTCTGTCTGTGAGGAGGTCGAGCAGGGAGCAGCAGCAAACACACACATCTGTCCCCGTGTACCCACTGGGACCCAGCGCTGAGCAGTTAGCCACCTGCTGTGGTATTCTCCTGATTGCCTGTCTATGGTGCAGACAGGTGGCTGTTCCTTTGGAGGTGACACAGAGACAGATGCAGTCACAGAGGCCTGGCTCCTGGGGACAGGCGGGTTGGTCTGCATGTGGAAGGTTGCCCTGCTCATTTATCCCCCCACAGCCTGGAGGAGGCTGCTTGTAACAGGGTGCATGCCCTGGAGTCCTGCCAACATGGCAGATACCCCCTTCCTCATGGTTCCAGCCACCATGCACACGTGCCGGTACCAGGGGTGTCTCGGAACTCTTCCTGTTTGTCTAGACATAACCTGGCAGGAAAATGTCCAGTAAATGTCTCTACATGTCTGGCCGCTCCCCCTCCCTACCTTACACCTTTTCTGGACCCTAAACACGAGTGCCCACCTCCCTGTCTCCCCTTAACTGTATGATCAGATCCTGGTTTAGCGAATGGCCCTTGGCACAAAGGCGGTGCAATCTTTTGGAGGATTTTCTGCCAAAAGGGGTGAAAGGAAGGAGAAATTTGGGAATAAAGGACAGGGTGTGAGTTCATATTTAGTCAAAAACCATAAGGACGCCCATTACCTGGTTGTTTTCTAATGGGCATATCTGAGTCTGCAGGCGACCTGGGACTGGAGAAGGCAGTTCTCTCATTGTCCCCTGGGTCCATCCTCATTGCAACTGAGCAGGGATTTGACAGTGGAGGTTGCAGTTGGGCCGAGAGTTCCATTGTTGTGTAGTTAACACCTGAGTTCACCCACCTGGAAATTTCTCCCCAGGTCCTTTTAAGTCTATGAATTGGGGTGCTCTGCAGAGCAGAGAGGATGGCGTGGA